AAATTTGGTAACATGTCTGATAAATTCCTCTAAGGTAGTGATTTGTGGAGAAAAGATGACAACTCTTGAGGAATTGTTTCTGTTATAGTGTAGTAGCCAAGGCCTCTCAAACGACGATCTTGTGCAAATTGTGATAAAATCACGAAAATCTGCACAACTACACAGTTTGATATGCTGAATAAGATGGGATCGGGACCCAGTCTGAGAAATACCCCCAAATGCTAGTAATCATGCTAACTTTCATGTCACTGATTTGATTTTCAACAAAGTTATAGAGATAATCAATTTAGGAGTCTGGGAACAATTAAGCATTCTAAAAATGGCATTTTGGGGCATTTTTAAGATGGGTGTCGATCAAAATCCTTTTAGTTTGCTATAATTATTATCTAAATCAAATTTCTTGGTATTGATTTTGTTTTTAGCGGAGCTGTAGAGATAAGCGTGTTAGAGGTTTGGGAACAAGTACATGGTCTAAAAATAGCATTTGAGGGCATTTTGACGATGGATGTGAATCTAAATCACATTACTGTGTTATGATTAGTATCTATACCAATTTTCATGTGATTGATTTCATTTTCAACAAAGTTAAAGAGATAATCATTTCAAAGGTCTAGGAACAGTGAATCATTGTAAAAAAAGCTCTTAAGGACATTTCTCAGCCTGGGTCCCGATCCCATCTTTTTCAGCATGTCAAATTGTATGTTTGTACAGATTTTCATGGTTTTATCACGATTTGCATATTCATTCTGCTTATCTCCTACACTATGGTACAAATATATATGTTGCAGTTATCTGAGATTGCACTTGAGATTGCCAATCTGGACTTTTCAGTATATAGTGAAATACATCTTTATAGATATTCGAAATATTACCCGCGACCCTGGCGGGTTCACTTCTATAAGAATCTATATACCATGTGAGTTCCGAAAATGGATTTCTACCCCCTTATCTCTGACATAACCGGCATTGCAACACACCCTAATCTCTGAATATTTGGGTATGTTACACCCCTTTTCTCTGACAAAAAAAAAGTGTTAAATTAAATCAGCCCCATCAACCTTGGCAATAGATTTGATAAAAAGTAAAATGTAGATTGCCTCAGTAACTCCAATAATTAGAAAAATATAATTATAAGGATTAAACAATGTTGATTTTGGTGCTGTAAAAACCTATCTTCAGTTTTGATGCTAATGTGCACCCAATGTGAAATTCATGCTAAAGACATGTCAAGGTCAAATCAGATCTGTGTCATGGCATGAAGAAAAAATCTGAGCCAAAGATCTTAATCAATGAAGCCTAGTGCTTAGAATGCCAAAAAGTATAAACAATAGTCGCCTGTTAAAAAATCCATGTTTATCAACAAGTCAATCTGAAAACCTGGCACAATTCAAGGTTGTGGAAGTTGTTCTGCAGAGTTTCCCATACTCGTACACAAGATAGCACACTGTTTCTGCACAGTTGCACACATACACATATTCATATTTGTTCTTGCATACACAAGAACTTGTGGAGACCTTCCATACTCTGCAGACTGAACTTTGCAGGTGCTTCTTAACTTGACTCAATCTTAAACTTTCAAGTAAGCAACTCTCAAGTAGCTATTGTTTTCATTACATCCACTATAAAAGACAATCAACAACACTGCATCTCAGTTTGAAGGTCGAAATTCTCTCAAAAGTCATTTCCACTCTTACAAATTAAAATGTCATATTTGCATTCATTGTATTGTGACATGAACAGCTTACTGTCAGCTTCTTTTTCATCATGGAGATCTTGCTGTTAAAGCTTGAGCATCTTGGGCGATCAAATTTAAACAACTTGCACTTAAATTAATGTTCATCCAACACAAAATACTATTCAAAACCGAATTACAGGGACTTTTAAACTAATTAGTTACAAAATATGCTTACTATGGCAAATTTGGTTATTTTGTGGGTTTTGCCTCCCCCTACCCCTACCTGAAAAATGAATTCCTGCCTTTGAACATACATAAAGTGATTTTGGCTTTTGCTATGTATTACTAGAAGTACCTTCCGTTTAAATATTTCTACAGCGCTTCTCCCATAAACTTTACCCGATAGGCCCCTTTAAAATGAAAACTGAAGTGATTTGAATGCATGATTTAATTGGCGGGAAAGGCGGGCATTGGAAACAAGACTGTTGTCCGAAAAGTCACGACGGATAAAAGACACCAATAAATGGTCCAGGGAGAGAGTGTTTGTGTTTGCTTGTATTAATATGACAGGGGCTCCGTCCAAAAATTTTCGCGAACACTGGTTGTAGTGAAGCTTGAGCTGAGTGAGGCTAAGTATGGCCTATAATTGAAATTCTTCAAGGCCTGACCATGAGTTCAGGTATATTTTTTTAGATTTCCCTCTACGTACAGAGGAACTCAAATTAAGATTTGTAATTAGAATTACAAAATATAAAAGCAGAAATATTATAATTATAGGTGTTATTTTATCAAAGGAACAAGATTTTCTGTTAGATGGAACATCTTGCTAGAATGACTTTTGGTGTAAGCTGTTTAGTATGATGCATTTGATGAGATAGCAGTTGAAATAGAATTGAGTTTTGTTTTTTCTTTTACTTTTACCATGAAATTGCTGAGTCATGTTCATATAGATGTTAGGTCAATTTAAGCATCTCAGCCAGAAACCTACCAATTTCAGATTCTGACATGCAGCACTATTCTGTTCTTGTGCATGCATCAGCCATACTCTGCAGACTTGTACTCACTCAAGTTTTATGTTGCAATATTGATTGGAAGTATGTTGATATAGACAGTTGTTTTTTAAAAGTATCTTTGTTCATTTTACTGGTTGTCTGTCTACTGCAGCCAGCTGGGGCTATAACACTATGTTGATTTCCTTATTTGCAACAAAAATTAGCCCTAAGTCCTTAATTTGTAATCCTTTAACCATGCATAAAATTTTTCTGCAAGCATAAATCATTGACTATGCATAAATCCTTCCCTGACTTGGATGCTCTATGGTTTTATAAACTAAGGAGCAAAGTTATAAGGCATATTAATATTGTTTTTAAAGCAAAGGTAACAAACAAAAGTTATATCATAGCAACAGGAACCTAATTCAAATAATATTCTTGCAAGTAAAGTGTCTTTGAACCATCCAGGTAATCCCCTATAATAGCACCAATAAAATGATGTTGAAACATACAATATATCCTTTATGTGAGCATATCACATAATGCTTTGACTTTATCTAGGATGATAAGAGTTCTGTAAAGACTTATTTGAATGAAATTTGACATTTGTTGGAATGGAACACACCGGAGTACTGCTTCGATATACTCAAGATTTTTTACCCTTTTTACCAAAATCTCTGAAAATATTTTTGGGAAACATCCTTTTTTTTGAAAATCTATGTCCCAGATGTGTGTCAAATTTGTGAGCCTTTCTCATAGATTTTTGGAACTCACATGGTGTATAGGGTCATATGGAAGTGAACCCGCCGGGCCCGCGACAGCAAGCATTCCTGTGCCAATTGTCATGGCGATTTCCGTTTTGCGATACGTTTCGAACAACGTGCCATGTAGCTTCCCGTGGGACTCTACTCACCAGTGTTAACACACCGGTGTTGAGGATAGGGAGGGCTTCGGTTGGGTCACAAATTTTTAGCTTGAAAAATATCATTTCCGTTACTTACATTCTCAAAAATACAGATTTAAAAAAATCCTCATTCCGGAAAAAATGACTTTCATGACACATTTACATGTTTACAAGCCAGCCTTTGATGTATAGAACAGGACGGTTCCAACATGCTACACCGTGTTTGATTCACGTTAAATGTGATCTACGGAAATAGTTGCCCGATAACCGCATTAAAGGTGAAACACAGCGTAGCAACTTACAACCGTCCTGTTTTATACACCAAATAGCTTGTACAGCTCTTCCTAAACGACATCGAACAGTAAATTTCATGTCTACAAGCCGCCAGTGAGGATTTCACGGTAGCTGCAAAGTTCTGTGTTTTTGTTTTTAAGAACAATTCAGTTACAGCGGATTCAAAGTTTTCCTTGATGTATATACTTAATTGTGGCTAATATAAGATTTTATGACGAATTTCCTTGTTCGATAATCTCTAGTAATGGAGACCCAAAAATAATCCAGCAGGTGACTAATCCTTAATTACCTTTATTTTTTACTAAAAGTTTAAGCCCTAAATGTACCGCGAGCATTCCTATACTAAATTTACAAGACAAGGCAGTTGGTCAGACAATGACAACCACGATATCAGGCAGACCACCGCGACTCTTTTGCTATCAGCCTCCTTTAGAAAATTTCATGGCAATGTTTTTTCTAATCTAAATTGTTCTGTTTTAAAAATCTAAAAATGTTCATTATGAAATTAAGTTTGGAAGCATCAAGGACTGATTGGAAACCACAGATTCGGGGTGTGGACAAAAAAGTACTAGCAATAGATTCTGATTACTTTTGATTAAACTGGTGTGCCATCGTTGCCCTTTGTTTTGATCTGCATTGGCTAAGTCGCCTAGCACAAGGAGCGCAACAGCCACAACTGATAATGGCTTCTGCCACCCAAGTTCGCTTGTAAGGATTCCCGTTGGCCCTATGGTTGTGTTGCTTTCATATGTGCTCGCCCAGTTTTCTTCCTTTTATATTATATGCATCGTGTTTTATGCATGAAGTTATGATGTTATTAGAGGGTTTAAACATATCGTGTTTCGTGCAATTCGTTCACGTTCATGTTCAGTGCTATGCACTTCTTCCAGTTCTGTGTATGGTCACGATTTATATATATTTGAAGATAAAATCGAATGATATGGAGTATCTGGTGAATACCCAGTATCTGAATCAGTAGAAATGTTGCAGTCGCGTACATTGACGTTATGTTCTTATATCCTGCTACTTTAAATGTGGTTAATTACAGGTTTATGATCATCTTCAGCGTAAACGATTTAAGATTCACTTCTTGTAACAATTTGAGCTTTTTGAATGACTACTCCTCTTTTTGCAGTTACATACACCATTGAAAGAGACAGAAAATGAAGGAAGTTCCTGCGGTAAAGAAGCACTCCCAGGACCTACTTTGTTACTTGGATAGGTTGTCATGAGAAATCTACCGCTGGATTTGGTTCTGAAGATTTGGGTTTCTTGTGGAGAAAAGTTAAGCTTTAAATGAAGTTGGAAATACTTTTGGTAGTAAATCTAATTCTTGTTTGATTAAAGCAAAAATAACTTATTCAGATGAAATTGTAAACCTTACTGTCCTCCTTAGTTTATTACTCTCTTAGCAGTGACAATCTCTGGGGTGTTTTTTTGCGCGATAAAAATCTTTAACCGCGTATGATGTAACTTACAATAGAGGAAAATGTTGTATCTTCATGCAAGTTTTTTTATCTATTTACAACATCTCTTGTTTTTAGTCCTTCAAGAATATTTTCAGTCTGATACATCCCCGGTTTTGTTTTGTCTTGTTTTTGTTTCATATTAATGTTTTTTTGACAGTGTGTGTGTTAAACTAGTGCCCTGAGTGCAAATCAGATCAGTAACCTTTAGGTTCTTTTCACTCCCTAATAAGTCCCTTTGTTTATTATATGCTCGCTAGGTAGAGGGGAAGGGGGTTAATGCTTACATTTCTTGGCGATTTTCAAAGGATTTTGAGCATATCTCGCGTGGAATTGTAACTCATTTCGATGCTCCATATATTTAGGAGAGTAGTTGGACTGGTGCGCAGGCGCATTGGTCTTTATTGTTCTTTTGGCTATTAAGGTTCCGAGGCCTTTTATGCAGGGGCTATCAGCCCGCATAGTGAGCTTATTGTTTGCTAGTTGGATTTATATTCGGAGATTTGTTTATGAGCACTTTGGTTATGTTGTTTTGCGTAGGTGTCCTATGGCCACCTAGGAAGCAAGCCCGCAATAAAAACAAGAACGATTAAAGTTTAATGAACTTCTGTGCAGCCTTGATAGTGGAATGGCTTATATAAAACCCAGTCGCTTAGATCTCCCATTCATGTCTATGCTGCGGTCAGAGCCCTCTTTGTTTTGCTTTACTTTTGGCGCTTACGTATTTTAAGTTGGTTTTGAGTTTAAAATAGACATGTCTTTCATACAATGTGTGAGAATTAAATGTATATTTTCCTAAATATGTTTTTTTTAGATAATCAGGAACGTCTGAAGCGTTTAATGGTTTAAAGGAGACCGGTGAAAAGGGGCACTGTGTCTCAGAAAAAGGGCACTGTGTCTCAGAAAAAGGGCACTGTACGAAAGGAGCATCTTTATACAAGTTTGGGGCACTTGATCTGGCGCTCCTTCTCTTGCCAACGGTTGCGACGTTCCTGTTCATTATATGGAATAGAATATGATTTGTCTATAAGGGTTTGCTCTTAAACAAGTGATCAGAACATTTATTTTCCTGAGAGACTGAAAATAGAAAACAAAACACACTACAACAGAAAATGAGGATCGAAACTATCCATTTTTCTGTGCATATTTCCCTATATTTTGTTAATATGGACTGAAAAAAGTCATATTTGCTGGTAAAACATACAAGAACGTTAAATATAAAAAACGAACAAGTCCTTTAAATTGCGGAAATCACCAAAATCTATATCTTAGTCATCTGTGTCATTCAAATACCAAACGAAATGTTTTTTGTCGTTCTCCGTTTTTGGTTCTTTTACCATACTATCTGACACACCATATGATTTACTATCGGACAAAATTATCTGAAATATTATTTGACAGTGACATACTATCTGACAAACTATCTAACATACTATCTGACACACTATCTGACAAACTATCAGACTGACAATCTGACAGACTATCTTTCCTGCTATCTCACATACTATCAGACATACTATCTGAAAAACCATCCATCTTACTATCTGACATACTATGTCACAAACAATCTGACTTACTATCTGACATACTATGTCACAAACAATCGGACTTACTATCTGACAAACTATCAGACATACTATTTGAAAAACCATCCAACTTACTATCTGACATACTATGTCACAAACAATCTGACTTACTATCTGCCATACTATCTCAAAAACTATCTGACATAACGTCTGACAGTGACATACTATCTGACAAACTATCTAACATGCTATCTGTTTGCTTTTCCAGAAAGTAACATTTGCATACATTATTTGGTGACGAATCTCCTCAGGTTTTAATAGTAAACTTTTCCTTCTGCCCAGTCACGTGACAAACTGATATTTTTCTGAAATGAGAATGTTATGCAGATTGTGGACAGAAGAAGCAAAGTAAGTATGGCTCATTTTTGCATTATCCTGTACGATATAGCTTTGAAATTGTAATGACTCAAATCAGTAGATAACAATAAAGATTCTCTTTTCACTTTGATAAGACAGCGTTAACACGTAATATCTTTCTTTCATATTTACGTATAAATTTCACATTTTGTACGAATGAATCTTTAGCTGCAGCATAAAAAGAAAATTTAGGCCGTTATCAGGCCCGGATTTAAGTGGGTGCTATGGTGCTGCAGCATTAGGCCCATTCCTGAAATAGGCCAAAGTGAGGACAGGCGAGAATTTTTCTAAAGCTGAATAGGTCCAACTTTGGCCATAGTTGTCAAATGGCATTGCAAGCATGAGATAAGGCATTTTAGGTTGTTTCCAGCCTAAAAATGTTTTTTGTGGAATTTGATAATTCTCTACATTTTTTTGCATATCCAGGGTCATTGATTTTTGAAAAAAATGACCAAGTTCTTTTTTGAGAGAATTGGGCCCTAAATTTATCAGAAACTTGTCAAATTATATTGCAAGCGTATTATCAACTTTGATCTGGCAACTATATCCACTATGATCTGGCATTAGCTCTTATGAAATTTGGATATGAATGAAAATCAAAATAGATTCAAAGATGATAGAATATATAATATTCCATGATATATACGCTGTTTGGTGTAAAGAGCAGGATGGTTCAAAGTTGCTACTCCGAGTATCATGCTTAATACGATTATCAGGCAATAACGTGCACAATACACCAGTCGTGATAGAAAAACTAAGATCATTGTATTCAGCGAAAAAATGGATCAGTACACTTACTAATGACCCTAAAAATCAACAAAAGAACTGCGTGATGCAAGCTATATTATTCTTGTCTTTATGAGGTTTATATTAATAGCATCTTAAAACGCAGGTACTTGGATGTACAATGAGCTTATTTCAGTGTCGTCCCTATTCCACTCCCACTCTTATTCAAGCAATTATAAAATTGAAAAAGGTTGCTTTCCACAAAAGGTAAAACTGTTCGTTGGAAAAGCTTCAGTGCATAACAGTGTCTTTGTTTCGTAATTCGAAAAGAGATTTTGAGCAACTGTAGCAGCATATACCATGACCATTTAGGCTGTGAAGTGTTGTTTTCAGTATCTGAGCACCATGTTTATGATAATCAAATATGATAGTTAAAGCGTTTATTTTGCATATTTTAAAAAGTCAAGCATCTACTGACATTTCGATCAGGTTTTGTAGGTTGCTTCAAGGCCAAATTACCAAAAAGGCCAAATTACCAAAAAGGCCAAACAACCAAAAAGGCCAAATTGAATTTGAGGTTAGTTTTTTGAAAAAGAGACCAAAGCAATATTTTAAAGGCAATATTTTGAAGGCATTGAAAATTTTCATACTTGCCTCTGTAAAGTTTCATTTCCCAAATGAACTTCCATTACCGTTCCTCTTCATTAGCTCGCAAAATTGGTCAGTCTGTAATAAAGAACCATGGCAAACTTTTTCTAGTTTCTCACTTTTTTCTTCGTTTTTCGAAGCTGCTGCCAAAGGAATTGCTCGTATCATATTTGTAGCAGATTTGTTTCTTATATGGTTGTCAGTTTTCTGTTCCATCAGTGGGATTTTTTACTCATACATACATTTTCTCTCATGAATTGCAATACAAATACTTAATGCTTCTATAATTCCAACAATTTCTATTATCACAAATTATCTCATGTTGACGAAGTAAAGTGATATTTGATGAAATGCAAGAGCACTCTGATTTATAATTTTTTGCGCACATACTTTGAATCCAAATGTTAGAAGTAAATCTGCCTTCTCTCGCTCTTTTTGTGCTCAAATCCATAAATAGAGATTTTCTGGTATTGCTCATATATCACAATATCACATTTTTACATCACAATATGACATAGTTCATAAAAATGTGAAGTGATCATTCAATCATTCTGGAACATATGACTGTTGCTATTTGGGGTGTACTTACTCAACGCGGCATTATTCTCGTTGTACCGCTTAATTAGTGTAGCAGTTGGCACTCAAAATCAAGGTTCTAGCTGTAAACGAAAGGCTCAGTGTTGAAAAAGGCCATATTTGGCCATACTTTCAGCTCAGGCTTTTAATGAATTTTAATACTTATAATTGCTGCCAACAGTAAATTACTGCGAACTACCTAAACCTAGTTACAGATCTTTGCTTAATTGCCAGGCTAGAAGCCATGATGAAAATCCGAAATTTTTTGTGCATGTTTTACAAAGAGTCTTCAGCTAGACACTTCACTTTTCCAAAAGAGAATTATTAAGACTTTCAAGACCCTTTTTGTGAAAAGAAATATCTGGCTACAACAATCGTTAAATACTCTTGTAACAATCATAGAAAACTCCTGCAACAATCATTGAATACTACAATAACAATCATTGAAAACTTCTGCAACAATCATTGAATAATTCTGTAACAATCATTAATATTACCATAACAGTCATTAAACACTCTTGCAGCAATCATTGAATACTAGAATAACAATAATTGAATACTCTTGCAACAGTTATTGAATACTACTGCTGCAGCAATCATTGAAAACTCCTGCAACAATCATTGAATAATTCTGTAACAATCATTAATGCTACAATAACAGTCCTTAAACACTCTTACAGCAATCATTGAATACTAGAATAACAATCATTGAATACTCTTGCAACAGTCATTGAATACTACTACTGCAGCAATCATTGAAAACTCCTGCAACAATCATTGAATAATTCTGTAACAATCATTAATACTACAATAACAGTCATTAAACACCCTTACAGCAATCATTGAATCATTGAATACTACAAAAACAATCATTGAATACTTTTGCAACGGTCATTGAAAACTCCTGCAACAATCATTGAATACTCCTGCAGGAGTCGTTGAATTCTACAATAATAATCTTTGAAAACTCCTGTAACAATCATTGAAACTCCTGTAACAATCATTGAATACTACAATAACAGTCATTAAATACTCTTGCAGCAATCATTCAATACCGGTCCA